TAGTTGATCCAAGAAGAATGAAGTCCTTGTCAACTTCAGTCTTTTCTCCATTGATAAGAATGTTGTTTATTGGTCCATTGGTGAGGATTTTTGTTTTCTTTACGTTGAGATGCAATCCATATCGAAGGCTGTGCTCTTTGATCTTCATCACTAAGTTGGGATTTTTCTTTGTGGGGGTGATTTTTAGTTTCTTAAATAAACCTTCTCTTTCTTTAGTAGATACAAAGTTATTCAGATTATGTTTCTTGTGTAAATTTTGGCAATTTATGTCTTCTGAGAAATTTGTCAGTTTTATCTAAGTTGTCAAATTTATTGTCATAAAATTATTTATGATACTTCTTTATTATCCTTTCAATGTCCATAAGATCTGTGGTGGTATTCCTTTTGCCACTCGTATTCATAATTTACGTCTTTTTTATTTCTTAGTCTAGCTAGAGATTTTATCAGTTTTCTCCTTGTCTTTCCAGAGAGCCCACTTTGGGTTTTATTCCTCTACAGAATTTTACCTGATGTAATTCATTTGTTTTTTCTTTTATCTTTATTACTTTTGTCCTGAATACACTGAGACTGTTTTGCTCTGTTTCTAGATTGTACAGTGAAAGTTTAGTTTATTGAGTTTAGACTTTCCTAATATAAGTATTGGAGTCCTGGTGTGGCTCTGTGGTTTAATGCGCCAGACTGTAAAGCCATTTGAACTGCAAAATCGATGGTTCCAGCTCACCAGCTGCTCCTTGGAAACCCTATATGGGGTCGCTATGGATCGGAACCGACTTGATGGCACTTAACAACCATATAAGTTTTAGAGTCCTAGTGTGGTACTGTAGCATAAGCACTGGACTGCCAACCACTGGATCAGCAGTTCAAACTCACCAGCTCCTTCTTGGAAACTCTACCAACTCAGTGGCCCATAACAACAATGTAAACATTTAAAGCTACAAATTCGATTCTATGTACTTTCATTTAGCTGCATCCCACAAATTCTGATATATTGTGTTTTTATTATTATTCAGTTAAGAGTGTGTGTGTGCGTGTGTGTATTTTATTTCCATTTGTGACTTCTTTAATCTCTGGATCATTCAGAAGTCTTCTGTTAAAATTTAGGAATTTTCCAGCTGTCTTAAACCATTTCTACTTTAATTCTATTTTATTTATCAGAGAGCATACTTTGTAACATTTCAGTACTTCACATTTATTAGGCTTGTGTATGACAACATGTGGTCAGTCTTGGTGAATGGTCCTTTTGTACTAGACAAGAATACATATTTGACTGTTGTGTTAGCTCTGTTTCACGTGTATTTACATAGACATATGTCAGCTGGATTAAGTTGGTTAATAGTGTTTTTCAAGTTTTCTATATTCTTACTGTTAATTTTGTCTATGGTTCTATCCACTACTGAAGAAAGAATTTTGAAATGTCCAGCTCAAATTGTGGATTAGAGTTGTGTCTATTTTTGCTTCATGTATTTTGAGGTTCTGTTATTAGGTACAAATAGATTTAGAATTTTATGTCTTTTTGATAAATTGCCCTTTTATCATTATGAACGACACCATTTTTAATTTTGTCTTGATGTGTGCTTTGATATTTTTATAGCTATTCTAGTTTTCTCTTATATTTAAGGCTTCCCTATAATACTTTTTTTCATCTTTTTATTTTTTAACGTATCTTTACCTTTACACTTAAAGCCTCTCTTATAAGCAGGATATGCTTGGGTCTTTTTTGTTTTTGTTTTTTAATTGACTCTTAAGTCTTTTAATTGCCATGTTTAGATCATTACTAATGTTGTTGTTGTTGTTAAGTGCCGTGGGGTCAGTTCCGACTCATAGAGACCCTGTACCGGCTTTCCGAGGCTGTAAATCTTTACCGGAGCAGAAAGCCTCATCTTTCTCCCATGGAACAGCTGGTAGTTTCGAACTTCTGACCCTGAGGTTAGCAGTCCGATTCGTAACCACTACGCTACCAGAGCTCCTTAAATATGTAGCTTTATTATTTGTTTCATATTTCTTCCCTCTCTCATTTTTTGATCGTCTCTTTTTCCTTTCCAGACCTGTTTCAGATTTGAATATTTTTTAATATTCTATTTTCTCTCCTTGATGGGCTTGGTAGGTACATCTTTCTGGTTTAGTAGTATTCTCTGTTTGTTTTTTACAGGTTGCTTGGTTTGCAATATGCATCTTTAATATAATCTTATTTTACCATAATATCATATGCCACTTCCAAAATCAGAACATTACAACAGCAATTTATCATGCACTCTCTTCTATCCTTCATGCTAATTTTGTCATACATTTTATTTCTCCATGAATTATATACATTCTTATTATTTTAGCTTTAAATCGTTGAATATCTTGTGTATTAGTAGTTCATATCTTTGTTTCCCTGTGTTTTTTTGCGTCTTTTCTTATTCCCCCCTCTGGTTGCTTAATATTTCCTCATTTCTGTGTTTTTCAACAATTTGAATGTGTTATGCCTGTGGTAATTTTCTTCGCTTGGGATTTGTTGAGCTTCTTGGTGAATTATGGTTTTCATCAAACCTGAAAAACTTTTAAATTGCTGAAAGAGTGATTACTACTGGCATCTTGTAAAAAACAATGGAAAACTATGTATAATCTTTAAAGTATAGTCAGACAGCAACTCGGAATGTATGTGTGTTTGTTGTTCCCTAAGATTATAATGTTGTTGTTGTTTGTTGTTAAGCGCTGTCGAGTTGGTTCCAACCCACAGAGACCGTGTATAGGGTTCCCGAGGAGTGACTGGTGGGTTTGAACTGCCAACACTGCAATTCAAACTGACCTTGCAGTCCAGTGCCTCATCCTGCCGCGCCACACCAGGACTCCACTTACAATAGAATTCAGAAATCCCAGTCAGAGAATGGGATATAGCAGCAAATGCAGTAGCTTCGTGCATGCGATATTTGTATCCTGCGTCTCTGTATATAGTGTGTTGTCAGTACATAATACATATGTCTTCAAAGTCACCATAAATACCTCCATTGCTGGCTTATATATGTCCTGTACTTTCTGTTTAAGACTCACAGGCAGCAGCATCCTGTCTCTTAGGTGTAGTAGCATTATTTCCGTTTAATTTTCTTTTGACACTATTACCATGAAGAGCGTCGAGGCTCCCAAATGCAGCAAAGCCAGTGTCAGTGATAGAAGCAAGGGAGAAGCATTGATTTGTGTAATAAAAAGTTACTAACCAACATGAAGGTGGATCATCAGTGGATGCTCTTGTTCACAATTTAGGCATGTCACACTCAGTAATCACTACGATCCTCAAAGACAAAGACAAAAGTCTCCTAGCTGTTAAAGGACCAGCTCCAGTAAAAGCTACACAGATAATAGAAATATGAGAGGGACCTACACCAGATATGGAGAAATCGCTCATGACGTGGATTGAGGACCAGACACCAAAGTGAATCCCTCTCAGCTAACACTTGTGTGAGATACTTAAATAAGAACCAAGGCCAGACTACAATGCAGCGTTCACACAACGTCCAAATGTCATAATGACTTATTTCACAGAACGTATCGTGGATGTTAAGCGTCACATGACTGCACTGAAAAATCAACCAACAAGTGAAGTCAGCACTGAGATCTATATCCGATGTAAATATTTTTCAGAAATGGAGAATAATAAAGATTGCTTTTCAGGCAAACTAAAGTTGAGACTATCTGTTGCCAGTAGTGGGGAGGAGAATAAGAGTGTAAGATGTGCGTGTCACCCAACCCCTGCCCAAGGCAGCCCACTCCTCTCCATCCCACCAGTGGCAGATCAAGGGCTCCGGCACACCCCAGGAGAGGAGAGCACATTATGATGAAAGGGAACAGGTCTTGAGTGTCTCCCACCCCTGTGTGAACACTGGGAACTTTCTAGGTTGCCATTCCTTGTGATTACTCTCTGCTTGGCCTCGTGACACAATGAGGATCTTAGTGTCCAGTACAGCCTCAGAGGACCTCTGCACCTCTCTGGAACACTGTGTCTCTGTAGCTCTTTTCCTGCACTTGCCTCCACCTCCCTGAGCTCTGGTCTGTTTCCTCACCTCAGTGGTTTGAGTTTTCCCCTCTGGTACCAAGGTCCAGGGAGTGTCTCCAGGCAGGAAGCCAGGGCAGGCACGGGGCTCACCTTATTTATGTTTTTCCGGGTTTCACTGCCGTATCTCCAGATGAATATTGGTTTCTTCTGCATACTATTGTAAAATAGACATATATGTGTGGGAATAAGTCTAATAGGCGCATTGCCTGTTGTGGGGTGTCTGAAACAGTTGTTCATATTTGTTCAACAAGTTCATACTTGTTTGTGGCAAGAGGACACGCATGGTCCCCAATTATTCCTGCATTGAAGTCAGTTATTTCTCTTTTTATCTATCTAGAATATCTCTTAATTTCTTTTTGCCCATTTTACTGGCTCATGAATTCATTAGAACACACGTGAAGGTGTCTGGCCAGGTGATGGGGCCCATAGCCTCCTTGTCCCTTTTGGGACTGGACCACTGTGACACCTCACCCCAGGCCATGATTTGGAGGCAGAGCTGGCTCTCCAAAGGTGGCAGAGTCCAGGCCTTCTTTCTGAGGTACTCACAGAGCCTGGGCTAGGTGGATGCGCAAACCTGCCTCCCTCCTTTACCCTTTGGCTCTTCATCACCCCAGATGCCTTACTGAGAAGCTAAGATGCTGTGTGCTCTGAACTTCAACTATCCAACAGACTGGGAAACCTACACGTTTGTACTGCCTTCTTTGCTTCTCGATACCTGTCACATTGTTGGAGCCATCGCCTTGGTCTTCCCCGAGTGGGGAAGGGGGAGGCTGTGCTGTCTGCGGTGGTGGTGGTGGAACTGGGGCTAAGGTGTCGGTAGATAGCCAAGCTCTTGCACGCCAGCTGACACGGCCCAAGCTGCTGGATCGGCTTTGGCAGGTGATGAGCAGGCCTCCTGGTGTGTATGACTGGGATGAGGGAGATGACAGACCATTGAACTAATGGACTTGATTTGTTTCCTCTCCAGGTTCAATGTCAACAACACTATTCTTCACCCGGAGATCGTAGAGTGGTGAGTATGTCCTGTGGTCCACTCACCCCCTCTCAGAGAACCCCTCCAACAAGCTGGGCTGCAGAACCTACCCTCTCTGCCTCTTCTACCTTGTTGTTTGTTGATTGATTAGTTTATTTAGAAAGGGCATGAGTCACCTGAGTGTCTATTATATATATACATATACATATACACATACACATAATTTTTAATCTTTTCCTTTGTTTTCAATCTTTTAAAAACCTCCTGCCTGAGGTAAGCCAAGCTAAGTTAGCTAAGTAGGTTATGAAAGAGTGAAAATAAACATCACACGAAGGAGCTCTGGTAGCATGGTGGTTATGAGTCGGGCGGCTAACCTCAAGGTCAGCAGTTCGAAACTACCAGCTGTCCCATGGGAAAAAGGTGAGGCTTTCTACTCCCATAAAGATTGACAGCCTCAGAAACCCTGTACAGGGTCACTATGAGTCGGAACCGACTCCACGGCACACAGCCGCCACCACCATAAGTTTAAGTTAGTTCTACTTATCACCACTTAAGGAAACCTGGGGCAGAGCGACTGCGTAATTTGCTTAGTACTATAGGGTCAGTAAGGAGCTCTGGTAGCGTAGTGGTTACGAATCGGGCTGCAAACCGCATGGTCAGCAGTTCGAAACTACCAGCTGCTCCGCGGGAGAAAGATGCGGCTTTCTGCTCCCGTAAAGAGTTACAGCCTCGGAAACCCTGTACAGGGTCGCTATGGGTCGGAACCACCTCCACCATCATCCCTTTAGTGTTGTTGTTGCGAGTTGCTGTCGGGTCGATTCTATGTGCAGAGTAGAACTGCTCCAGAGGGTCTTTGAGGTCGTGTAGTGGCAACAATTGTGAGGTTGGTCCAGGACCGGGCAGTGTTTCATTCTGTTGTTCATAGGGTTGCTGTGAGTCGGTACCGACTTGATGCCACCTAATAAGCAAATTACCAGGCCTGTCTTCTGAGGTGCCCCTGGGTGGCTTTGAACTGCCTATCTTTGAGGGAGCAGTTGAGCACCACCCAGGGATTCCTTAATCAGAAAGGTAGGTGTTCTCTCCTCAGGTCACGCAGGTATCTTCATTAATGTGGTACCTTGTCACATGCTTCTTTTGTTACCTGCTTTCTTCCCTCAGTGATACAGCCCCTAACTGTATACAGCACCGCTGGTTTCTGCTAGGCGGCAGCGGCACCCATAGCCTTGGTTGGCAGGAAAGAACCCCTGAATACTGAGAAACAGGCCTGTGTCCACGTATGTTTTGCACATGGCACTCCCTCTTGTTTGCTTACCATTTGAGCCTTTTGGAGACCTGGGCTGGGCTGTGCCCTCTGACATCTCCTAAGGCTACATCATTAGCTTGTCGCCTGGAGCCTGCACGCTTTAATTCAGGTGATATTTCCAAGGCTCTGAGGTGGGTTTTGCATTCATAAGTGATCTCCCACCTTTATTAAAATGAGCAGCAGGAAGGACGTATTTGGCATTTGATGGCAGTACGACTATTTTAGAAATGTTGTGTTATCCTTACTGCCTCAGGGGTGTGTTTCAGGCATGGTCCTGGCTGCTCTGGGAAAGGCCCGGTAGTCATAATTACCCTCCTGAGTGACTGCGGAGTAGTGGCAGGCCCCTCCTACTCACAAGGGAGGGTGAACTTTCCATGAAGTCAAATTACGACTCACTGATGCTTCTGCGGATCGTGTGTCCTGTCTGCTTTTACCACCCTCTCTCCTCAGGCCCTGTGGGAAAAAGTAGCTTGGAGATCGTGGGAAAACCTGTCCATTTTGGACACAGGCATATCTTACCCCAGCCTGATCCACTTAGGAAGTCACTTAGGTTTGCTGAGCCTCAGTTTCATCTTTAAATGGGACTGTAGTAAGGGACAGACTCCTAGTGTACTGCTGTAGGATCAGCACTGGACTGCGAACCACAAGGTCTGTAGTTCAAACCCACCAGCTGCTCCTCGGAAACCCTGTACAGGGTCGCTGTGAGTCAGAACCGACTTAACAACAGCAGCGTGGAACAGATGGTTCGCTGAGCTTCCTGCTGTCACTTCCTGGTGGGCGGCTCAAGAATCGAAGGAGAACTAAAACCAAGTGCTGAGACAGTGTAATGACAACGGCCGACATCTTTGAGCCTTCCTGTGCTAAGCATCGGACACGTGTTACCGTATTTCAAACTCCAAACCCTTCACTGTTGACTTCATTCCTACTCTTAGCAACCCTGTAGGGCATAGTAAAACTACTGCCTTGGGAACAGCAGGTTCATCTTCCTCCTGCAGAGTTCCTGCTGGGTTCAAACTGCTGACATAACCCATTCCACCACCAGGGCTCCCCCAGTATTTAAAGAGGCATTCATTTCTGTTATAAAGTAGGCTGTCTGATTAGCGACATTCTGCAGATGAGGAAGATGAGACTCAGGGAGATTAGTGACTTGGTTAAGAAACAATGAGGAGTTGAGCCCAGGCTGATAGTTCCAGAATGTGTGTGTGTGCTGCCCCCTTGCAGCTCTGAGGAGCCCCTTGAAGTGTGAGGGGGAGGAAGGAGGGTCTGTGCCTGAATGCCGGTCAGCTTTTCCCTCAGCCCTTGGGATGGATTTTGGGCTCAGGCCATCATGTAGCAGCGATGTGAGGGAACCAGGGTGTGTGGCTGCATCTCCTTTGGTACCGTGCCTCGCCACCCACACCCTAGCTCTAGGTCTGGGTGGGATCGAGGTTCCTTGAAGACCCTTCTGGTTGGGAGGCAGCACACACCTCTTCTAGTGCTGAGATGCCTTCTTTCTCATTTTGGTTCGGATGTCATTCATTTCCTTTCTGTGACTGTTTTATTGTTTTCCATTCTCTCAAGCAGTGCTTCTGTGATTTCCTGTAAATTTCTCTGTAATCATACTCTTCCCCGCAAACATGAGATCATAACTGATCGTTTCTTTTCTCATGTTGGGTATTGCAGTTTGAATGTGAAGGTCGAAAGTTGAAATTTAATAAGAGCAGGCATCCTGCTTCCATAATTTAGGCTGTGGCTCTACTCTCCTGCTTTGCAGATGATTAAATTGATCTGAAGGTAGGGTAGGGAATAAAAGGAGGATACTCTCATATGGGCTAATAGCTTGGCGCCTTGGTTTCAGTTAAGTACCTCTGGAAGCGTCACAGAAGAGCAAGCATATCAGCAATTGCCGTGTGTATTCTTGGGTGTAAAGTGAGACCGAGCGAAATTGAGTCATCTGCCGTTTTTAGAGCTGTTAATTACACAGAGTGGAAGAGTCCTGCATGTATTAATCAGGCAGTGGGGTAACATCTATTTCTACTCCCCTTGCCTGTCTTTGTCCACAGGAGATGGTGAGGGCAGATGGTCTAGGGGCAGAAATGTACCAGGTTCCTGCATCCTGGATAACGTGTCCCAAATTAGAAAGGGTACGTAGATAATGACCTAGATTTTGACGCTTGTGTGGAAAGCATTCCGGTAGGGCTGTTCATCTTTGTCTTCTAACGATTAGACATTTAACCCTAAGCTATCCCAGAGTACCAAGTAGAAAGTGGGATTCTTACGGCAGTGTGAGAACCTGAGGTGGTACCATCTGCTAGAAGGCAGGAGATGAGATGTGGCAGCATCCACAGAGGGGAAGGTTTGGTCACGCCAGAGCTTGGAGGGGGCCACCTGCCTGTCCGCAGACACACGTGAAGTCACAGATGAGCTAAGTCATCATTGCCTTCTGACTGTTGTTTCTTTGATAGAACTTACCTATGGAGCCTCCCGAGGTGAAATTGTTTGAACCAGCTCTCTTCTGTTGGTCCCTCCTGTTGTTGTGGGGTGGTATCCTATGCAACACTAGGCCACAGGCTGTGGAGGGCATGGTCATTGGGCTCCTGTGGTATTGCTTTCTCACCAAACCCTGCACATTTCATCTCTAGGAAAGATGGAATGCCCGCCCCTTTAAATGGGTTCTTGCATCCTGGTGGTACTTTGATGCTTGGAGACTGAGTTGGGAGATACTTCATCCTGTCTTGCTACTATTTTGGTTGGTGGAACATTCAGACTTCAGTTAATTGATGTCTTAATCCTGGGTTTAATGCCCAGAGGCAATTCTGTAACCTGTGAATATTTTTATAAAAAAAGATTGCACAAGTGAATCTCTGCGGAGACCTGTAGCAGGAGCCTTGGGACCTGGCAAGGGTGCAGGAGACTCTGCTTCCCCACGCTCAGATCTCAGCCTTTGTACTTGAGCAGCCCCTGGGGGCCTGTGCATGACGCCGCACAGTGCTCACGTTTCCCAGACACTCACCAGGTGCCTCCTCTTCCTGGTCAGAGAGCCTGGGCTGTCTCTGCCCGGACGTCCTTTGTGGCTTCGCTGCTGTCCTGTCATGATCTCTGTCCTCTGTTAATTCATGGAGGAGTTGGCCTTTGACCTCTCTGAGGGAATATACGAGGGTAAGTCAAAAATTGTAGCTTCTAGGATTCCAGTTCATACACGTTTGGCTTTATTCCAAACAAAACATGTTTAATTAAACATGTCTGCGACCAGTGGATGGTTGTAGACCAAATTCTCTCAGAAATGTCCTTGTCTTAAACTTGTTAGGGGGCCTTCTCAAAAAAGGTCCAGTCAAACCAGTGGCTTCTGAGGGGATCTGCTGGGCCAGTTAAATTCAGTGTTAGAGAGTTCGGTTCAGAAGGTTATGGCATTGATTTTTTGGGGATACCAAGCAGGTAATCTTGATCGTCTTGAAGGACACAGGACAATCATGGGGGCTTATTATGAAGTTTTAAAGAAAATTGAAAACTGCCAAGGAAATTTTTCCCGCCATGACAGTGCACCGTGCACCTGCTCATTCCTCGAGGGTAGCAAAGGCTGCTCTCCTGGGAGAATTCCGCTGGGACTCCTTCCCCCCTCCACTCCTCAACCCCAATCCTGCCCCAAACTCGACACAGAAAAGACCATCTAGGGTGCCCAAAGTACCATTTTGTTGTGGTGTAAATGGAAGGGCACAGAATTCTCTGGGGGAAGAGAGATGGAGATGATGCCTTTATA